ATCCGGCGTCCTATCGATCGATTCATCCGTCGTCCGCATACGTTATCACTGGAATAAACAAGCTGGAACGGCGATGAATATTCAAACGAGTATCGTATTCGACCGATATCCCGATCAAGGATGAAGGATCTAATCCAAACGCGGCTTCTATTCCGAAACCTCGACAATGGTTTCGAACGTTCCTCTCTTTTAAACGACACTCTGGTGTCGCACGATACAATCTAATCCTAATTCGAATTCGGCTGTGGACAAAGTTGGAATATATTCAATGGAAACAACAAGTTTACCTTTATTTATCGAAATTCAAAAGTTAAACAAGTTTGATCGGATCGATCTCCCTGCCCTGCAAGAACAAGAATCCCTTGTTTCTCCTTGCGTTCCCCGCGTGACGAGAACTGGCAAGAACTTGCACGGCCATTTCCCCTTCCGCGGTTTCAGCTAATTTTGCAACTAATTAAGTAGCCGTGGAGGTCGATGGGATTTGGGGGTGGCGGCGTGCGCGCGTCAGAGAGTCGGGAGAAGGGTTCGGAAACACCCCTTTGAAAGGCGAATTTCGACTAACCAGACGGAGAAACCGCAGCCAACGGTTGTGCCGTTTCGTTGTCGTGTGTTCGTAGTTTGTTGGCAGGAAAATTGAAAATTTTTATATCTTTGGATGGTAAAAAAATCCGATTCGTGGAAAAGTGCACGCTCTGCGAAGGAAAAAATATTGCGCGAATTGAAAACGTGAATGAGAATAATACAACGATAGTACACTTGATAAGGGATGATCGAAATTGGTAAAAATCACTATGAAAAAAGTGAGAAAATGTAGCACGATTAACTAAAATTTCGCGAGAAAAATGTAAAAAGATAAACTGCAGACACGTGGAAGTGAAAAAAAAGAAAAATACGCCAAACTATTAACGGCACTACCCTCCTCCTCCTACTCTTTTGGAGAAGAGAGAATTTTCGTGGCAAGTGGATAGTGACGAAAACCGCGGCTTTCCATTGTGGAAAATGTTCGAATTCAGGAATCGGTCTGATTCCAGACCGTATTAATGCGTACAAGCACGTAAAAACGAAATTACACGGAGGGCGCTCATGAATTTTAATGGCGAGCCTGTGATCCTGAATCGCAATGCTCGACGGTGTGTACACACCGGCCATTTGAATAACGTTTATGTCGTCGATTATACGTGTGTCTACGAGCTTTAATAGGTTCGCGGGCAGCGTTTCTCAAACTGGAACGCGAAGAGATTCGCACCTGCATTCAACAACAAGTTTCTTGGCTCGTGGTGTGTTGTACACGATTATGCTTTAACGTAGGATTAAATGAAATTCAACGATAACTCGAATCGAGAATATTAGAACGTATATACGGAGGATAGGAAAATTGGTATTTGGATTACGTGAAAATTGTAATAACGCCATTTATTATCGCTTCGAAGTTACGCGCGTAGAACCGCACTCGATGGGAATAATAATTTGCCTTAAAATTCGATTAAATCGTAATAAAAATCGTAGGAAAAAACTCTCGCTGTATCTCCGAAAGTAATAATTCCCGGTCGTTGAACGAAAGACGGTTAAAAACACGGAACTTTGCTCTTCAAAACGCTTTTTCATTCGTCTCAATTCGACTTCCGGTTCCGGAGATATCGTCCTACAAAGAAAAGATAATTTTCAATCGTTTACTTAAACTCTCGAGCAAACCCTATTAAAATTACGAAAACTTTAAACCGCTATAACTCCGAAGATGGTAACTTCCGGTCAATAAACGAACGATCGTTGGAAGCGGAGAACATTCCCCTTTGAAACTCTTTTCGAATTATCTCGATTCGACTTCCGGTTCCCGAGATATCGTCGTGTAAAGAAAAGGGTAATTTCTAATCTTTTATTATTTTCGTTCGCGTCACTTACTCGGACCTCTCGCTCGCGCCTAATTTCACTGACCTATCCCAAACTCCAGACGCGATTCTTGGAAGGATGTAGTACGCATTTCCAGGAAAAAATGTCGATTGGCTCGCCATTCATAATCTTTACGTTTCAAGTATCGTAGAAACTTTGACTCTTCATATCTCGACAACCGATTGAGATATCGGAATAAAACAAAAAACGATTTCAACAGCATAGTTTCCTCTATTTTCTAAGTAAGTTTCGACAAAATTTTTTCTTCTCATATTTTTCTATGCGAAAAATAAAAAGTTTAATTTGTGATTTAACGTGAATACAATGATATATAATAGATGGCAATTGCTTATAGTCATGCTCTTGGAAAGCTCTAGCAAATTAAATTAATCGCAACATCACCGTTCGGAAAACGTTTCCGATAAGGCAACGAAGAACATTTAACCCTTTCATAACTGAAAGCTCCCCTTCGCCCTCGAGGCGCCTAATGGTACTTTGAAATTTCCGGTCCTGTTTCCACGATCCTTACATCAAGATTTCGTTAATCCTCTTTGGGACTCTAAATCGTCGACGCCACCAAGTTTGCCGGGCGAAAGGATTGAATTACGAACGGCTGTAATCGGAAGTTTCTCCAGGGGGAGGGGTGAAAAATTATATTCCATTAAACCGGAACTCTGAATCTTGGCACCGGTTTTAACGATACCATTGACCGAACAACGCGGTGTTTCGTCGTCGAACTCGATCTCGGCAGACATCTGGGCGTGTACACTTGATAAACAGCGATAAAGTGAGACCAAGTTGAATGGCGTTAATCCTTTCGACAGGCGTTCAGAGTTCGGAGTACAAAGAGCTTCGAGCACGATCCTTTCGTCGTTAGTTAACCATCGTCGAAGCGTGGAGGATCGATCGAAACGGTGAAGCTCTTCAAAATTTTATATACGCGCGATGATTGCGAGAGTTGCACGATTCTTCTGCGAAAGAGAAGTAGAGAAGAGGCAGAGGCGAGCTTAATCTATCATCCGCGTATCATGCCGTATCGGTGGACGTGAAAACACACCTTTCCAGACAAACGACGTTCCTCCCCGCTTTATTTCCGCCACGTTACGCGGGACATTTGTTCGGAACGTCTCGAATATTGATCATTTTTTTTTTCTCTTCTCCGGAATATCATCTTCCAAGTCTGGAAAATTAAAACAAAAAAAAAATAAATAAACTAAAGAATTAATTATTACGAATATAACATCATTTTTGAAAATTATTATTATAGCTTTTATTATAATCTCGCGAAAGAAAGATCCATTTCCGAAAGGTAGAATCATGGGAGGAATTTTAAAAAGTCACCAATGTTTTAAAAATCCATTGAAAAAAAAATATTTTTAGGAAGACGCTCAAACGCTTTCGAAATCATCGTTCCTGTTGTGACGATAAAACAACCGTGTGATGAGAAATGAATATAACATCATTTTTGAAAATTATTATTTATTTGCTTTTATTATTAGCTTTATTTATTTATTATATTTATTATATTTATTATAGCTTTATTAATCTCGCGAAAGAAAGATCCATTTCCGAAATACGAAAGGTAGAATCATGGAAGGAATTCTAAAAAGTGACCAATGTTTTAAAAATCCATTGAAAAAAAATATTTTTGGGAAGACGCTCAAACGTTTTCGAAATCCTATCATCGTTCCTGTTGTGACGATAAAATAACCGTGTGATGAGAAATGAATATAACATCATTTTTGAAAATTATAGCTTTATTTATTTATTATATTTATTATCTTATCTATTATAGCTTTATTAATCTCGCGAAAGAAAGATTCATTTCCGAAATACGAAAGATAGAATCATGGAAGGAATTCTAAAAAGTCACCAATGTTTTAAAAATCCATTGAAAAAAAAATATTTTTGGGAAGACGCTTTCGAAATCCTATCATTGTTCCTGTTGTGATGATAAAACAACCGTGTGATGAGAAACGAATATAACATCATTTTTGAAAATTATAACTTTATTTACTTATTATATTTATTATCTTTATTATAGCTTTATTAATCTCGCGAAAGAAAGATCCATGTCCGAAATACGAAAGGTAGAATCATGGAAGGAATTTTAAAAAGACACCAATGTTTTAAAAATTGAAGAAAAAAAAAAAATATTCGACTTTTGGAGAGACGCTCAAACGCTTTCGAAATCCTATCGTCGTGACGATAAAACAATCGCGTGATGAGAAACGTGTTCCTGCGTTTTCGCGCACGAGTTCAGCAAAGAAGAAGCTGTACGTGCCTTGCGTTTCGAGCACACAGTTTTTATATTTTATTACGCTTTACGATATCCTCCTTATTTCGTCGAGCGGACGAATTTTTATCCGCAATGATCGACGATAAAATAAACGATCAAAACGACGACTTTGAGAGAGAGAGACTTTTCGAAGATCTCGGTTCGAACGAACGCTTTTCTCGATCCCAGATATATTTTTCCCCTCCCTTCCCCCTTCAAATAAAGATAGAAACTCGAAACGGATGTTCCTCGAACGTATCGGAATATGGAGGGTCGTGTTCATTGGCCGTAAATTCATCGCCTCGAGTAAATTTGACCATTTCGTCGGGCGCAGGGGTTCGCGTTAACGATCCCTATAACCGTTTTGTCTGATCCTGGATACCCAGACCACCCATATTCCATAAAAAAAAAAAAAAAAGAAGAAGAAGAAACATCATCGCCCCTTTCAGGATCACGCGTTTGATCTACATTTAAATTAACATCGTTCATTAATTAATCGCTTAATACTTTTATATCCCGTATAAAAGAATTATTATTTCAGAAAATAGTGCTTCAAGTGCTTCGAACTCACGGAACGCATCACGCGTTTGTTTTTTTAATATGTATTCATACAACCAATTCAGAACGGGATTCCATTTATTCAATTATAAAATATTTTTACAAAAGTAACGTGTCGCGAAAATCTCAACCTACAACCTTCGTACAACACCCTTATATGTACACCCCTGCATCCTAAGGGAGAATATCCTCCCTTTTTTTTTCTTTTTTTAAAAAAGAGGGGAGGCACAAAATATATATCACGCTTTATATAAGAAATCTTTTTCTCGTTTCGCAGGTCGAACGCACGACTCCGCCTACACTTTGTACAGACTGGGGGAGAGATTGTCGAGCGGTGTGAGGTTGTACGTGGAGACCGGAAGGACAGACGGGATGGACGCGGACGGTGACTCGCCGAGCACCCTCCACTCGTTCACGGGCCCCCCCGTGCCCCAAGGGGAGGGGACGAGCGTGGCGCGGGCCTTCCTCGACGGCAATCACACCCTGATAAGCATCATGGCCCGCATCAACCCCAGCCCAGATTGGTTCGTCGGCCTCGATTCCTTCCAACTGTGCGTGGAGGGTAACTGGGTCGATACCGTGACCGTCGAGGTAATTACCCATTTGAGGGGAGTAGAGAGGGATCATTAATTTCGATATCAGAAATCCTGAAATCGCATCATCGAATCGCTTCGACGACCAACAATTTCAATTTCGGGGCGGGGTGACCGCCAACACTCGAAATTAGGCCGAGCCATATGGAAAATTAGATCGAATCGATGAAGGGGAGGGGGAGGTGAATTTTCCATTCGTTTCGCGAAAGCGCGAACAAAAGGCTCTATAGAAAAAGGAAACTTTTTTTTTTTTCCTTTTTTTTTTTTCGCTATTTGGATACACGAGACTGTATTAGCGATCCTTGGCGCTCGTTGAAGCGAAGTTTGATCTGGAAAAAGGGTTTGAAGAGAGGAAAAAATTGCGTCGAAAGAGATGTATGTGTGTGTGTGTGTGTGTGTATATATATATATATAGTATATATAGGTCGTGTGTTCGTCGAGATGGAAAAAAAAGCGCGTGGTTTCTATGCCATCTCATTAAAATCCGGCTATTGAAAGAGTCGGGGGATCCATCGTTCGTCTCTTTTCTCAGCTGGATCCGCTGGACGGTGGAACCGATAACGGGTTCACATTCACCGCTGCCAACTGGCCGACCCAACCCCAAGGAATCGCCTACAGGATCACGTCGCGGTATCCGGCGCATCCCGCGGGAAGCTTTTATTATCCGAATCTACCTCGCCTCCCGCCCATAGCCACCCTCACCTTCACCAAGGTAAGTTCGATCTTTGTTTCTTTTTTTTTTCTTTTCTTTTTCTTTTTTTTTTTTTGTATCCGATGGACTCGTTCTTTCACGTTCTTCCACATGATTTGTTTCGTCAACATTTTTTTCACATGTTGAGTTTTTGGATTATTGAACAACGCGGAATTAACTGATGGATCATTTGTCCGGTTTAGGATTCAATAGATTCGTATATATAGGTAGTTTATGGTTGTCAAAATTTACTTTTTCTTCTGTTTGAAACTTCTTTGAAACGATATTATCGAATTAAATTAATACTCGGGATATTCAGTTTTATTTAAAATAGAATAACGATAATTGACGATCGTCCTCTTAAATTTTAGAATCGATTAATGTTGAAATTTTTATTCCATTTAAAAACTTCTGAACGATTATTGAATCAACTGGAGAGATCCGGTTTTAATAAAAAAAGACAGCTTAAAATATATAGTATACAATCAATACCTTAAATTAATAATTTCAGTATTTTCCATTAATGAAATTATATATTCATTTTTGACAATTCCACCAACTCTCACAAAAATAACATCCATATCCATTAACTAAAATTATTATTCAATTAAACATTCATCATCCATTAATTAAAATTACCATCCATTTTTGCCAACTCTCCAATTAAACATTCACAAAAATAACATTCATATCCATTAATTAAAATTATTATCCATTTTTGCCAACTCTCCAACTCTTAAACATTCACAAAAATAACATCCGTGTTAATTAAATTTATTATCCATTTTTGACAATTCCACGGATTCTCCATCGATTAAACATTATTTCACAAGAATATAATAATATCAAAGAACGAGATTCCGCGTATAATAAATATATATATATATATAAAATATAATAAAACACAGGGCGAAACAACGATCCTCCGGCATCAAGGCGTTTTCCAACGTTCGCCAATTTCACCGCGAGCTCCGCTTTAATATTCCAGGGGAGGCATTAAACGGCGCGAGGAGAAAACAAACGCGCGAGCAAGTATGGCCACTTTGTTAGGCTAATATCGTCGCATTACGGGAAGAGGGGGAGTGGCAGAGAGAGAGAGAGAGAGAGAGAGAGTGGAGGAGGGAGGAGGGCGCACCAACTTAATTGGCATAAATGATAACGGGGGCTTCCTGGACCGAATGTACCCCGAACGTATCGCGGCTGATCCCCCCAACCACGACCACTCTATTTATGCCGCGAGCTCTTAGGATATTAATATTCAAAACGTAATATACACGCGTACTCCTTCGAACTGGGTCACCGGGAGGACCAAACCGCGCGAACATTAGGGAAAATTTCCAATTATATCCGTGTTGCATGCGTGTCTTTGAACATTCGTCTGGATACACGATAGCACAACGAAAACGTTCGAACGATAACGAAATCGTTAACGATGCAGGCATGCACGATTTTTTCCTTTTTTTTTTCTTGAGATATATCTTGATATTTCTTCTTTATCCTGTATTTTTATTATATCCTGCTGCTCAATAATAAATTTAAAAAGAAAAAAAAGTCTAGGTACAAATTACAAATTCTGATCTGTCAAAGCAAGAAAAGAAGAAGAAGTGAAGTAACTCAAAAGTTAAGTTTCGAAAGTAAGTGGTTGTAATAAGACAATGCTAATTTTTTTTTTTTTTTTTTAGAGTATTAAAAAGATTAAATTAAAAAGTTGAAATGGATCCTTAAAGTTGTGAAAGTACCGTTGTAATTATTATAACAGACACGAGTATCGAGATTATATATGCAAATTCTTCTCCCTCTAAAAAGTTGAAAGTGGATCCTTAAAGTTTCAACATTTTTTTTTTTTTCTTTCCTTTTTATCAATTACAGCGAAACTTTAAAAACGTGGTGAAATTTCAATGCTCCATGCGTCTCGTTATAAAAATATTCCTATATAGAAAATCTTATTCGAAAAGAACACGAGATTTTCTTGGAAAAAGAAATTTTCCAATACGGAAACGAATTACTCCCCTGCACAAATGAAAAAAAAAAAAAAAAAAAAAGAGAGAGAAAGAAAAGAACCTCGTTCGAATACTCTCACATCTTTCGCTATATCCACTCGCGCAAAAATATCAGGGATACATCTCGAACGAGACCCGTTTCGCTCCCTCCCCACCCTCCCTCTTCCGATTCTCCGAGTAATTTAGAATTTCACCAGAGGCATCGCCGTCTCCGTCGCGATCTTCAATCAATCCACGCGAACGATCCACACGGATTTTATACAAATTCACGATTCACTCGAATAAACGATGCAACTCTCGATGAACTCTCGTTGCGCGCTTCCCACCATCCTGCGTCCGAGGACACAAACATTATCGATTCGATAGTGATATAGTCGCGTTGAACACATTACGCCTCCCCGTGTTCCAATTTCAAGCTTAATGGAGTACCTAAGATGCTCGACCGTAATGGAACCGTTTCACCGGTCGTTCCATTTTTTCTTTCTTTCTTTCTTTCTTTCTTTTTTCCCCCTCTTCCTCTTCTCTTTTATTTTTTTATTCCCTTTCTTTTTTCCCTTTTCGATCGCGCGACACGAGTACGCGTTAACCGTAATGGCGGCCGCGAATTGCAGGGAGAAAGAGCGGTGAATTAACGTTCCACGGTTCGACGAGCTCGCGCGGAACTCGATAAACGAAATGATTCTCTTTCTCTCTCTCTGTCTGTCTGTCTGTCTGTCTGTCGGAGCGAAGAGACTGGAGGTGGAAAAGCTTAATCAGCTGTAAATTACAGTGACATCGTTGGCCCACAAACATGGTGACACATCGGTGTGAAAAAGTGTCCGGTCGATTTTTGTGAAAAATGATACGAGCGGTTCGTGACGTTAGCTGAATTTACGGTGCTTGGTTAAAACCACGTACGTATGAAAAAAAAAAAAAAAAAAGAAGGAGGAGGGGGGAAATGTAGACTGGAATCTAGATCGTATTAGAGTTAGGTGGATGAGTTATGCTCTGTGTGGAGAATTTGATTTATCGCGGATACCGAGGCGTATTTTCTAATGAATATCAACGTATAACGTGTGTCGATCGAGCGGCAATAGACTCGGATGCCATTAGTTTCCAATAGTAGGAATGATTTCACGTAAATTAATACTTTTATATACAATCGTACATTTACAATTAATCCGAACCGCGTTAATCTTCGCGTTAATAATATTATTATATCGAAGTATATAATAATACATCGAAGGATAATGAAATTTGTCGACAATTAATTCGATGTATATATATAATAATAATATAATAATAATACTCTCACACGTGTTTAAGTTTATCGAGTAGTTTGTATCGCGTGGCGCTAGTGTCGCGACATCCGATATACCTTCCCTCTCAAAATTCATTTCTAACGCTTTTATACTTTTCTTAGAGAGAAATATTCTCCGCGCGAATAACGTATCTTCGTTCGTTCGCACAGCTCGAAAGAGGAAAATCCATTTGAGCGGATGATAGTCGCAACAGCTGACGAAGCATCATGGAGGAAACAAGCCGGGTCGGATTACGATAAACGCGGCTAGAAGGGGAATGGGAGTGGAAAAATGGGAGCGGGGGGAGGAGAGGGTCTATAGGATTAGCGTTGAAAGTTTGATAATTATACGGTAAGCGGGTCAGGCTTTGCGAAGGAAGAGGAATCGCTCGAACGACAGGGCAGAAGAGGAGGACTGTGTGGCGAAAGCGACTTGTCACTGGACGAGACGAGTTGGAGGGGGAGAGAGAGAGAGAGGGAATCCAACGAAGGGGCCAAAAAGTAAGTTGAAGGAAAAGCAGGGCGAGCAAGACATAATTAGCAAGTTTAAACACGAGTCGCTGTCTCCCGAATCTCGTTACCGCTGTCTTCGTGGTGGGCGAGTAATCGGCTCCTGTTTTGAGACGAGGACACGACTCGAAAAAGAAACTTGTCCCCTTTTCGAAACAAGAGATTCGAACAAGTATTTTGCCGATTTGGTAGAAATTTTGACGAAGAATATAGCACATTGAAACAATTATCCATTGAATTATATCATAATTGTGCTATATCGTCTTATATATTTACGTACTCTGCCATGTATCGTACGCATTAAGTATATTTGATAATGATTGCCGCAGCTCCTTATTGGCGATTACGCGAAGAATACGTGATCGAAATTTCTCGAGGGTACGATTCGCGCCCTTGTCTACCTTTATTATATCCATCGTCGAGGGAATTGTTGAGGAATTGGCGTGGAAAATAAGATTCTCCACGTGGAGTGGGCGTAGTCCCGATATTTTCACGCGGGGCACACGCTTTCACCGGCATTCACCCTTCGAAATCTAATATACATGCTTATTTACGTATCCAACGGCGTTCCAAGGAGGAGAAAATAATAACGAGCCCTTTCACGCCCTTCGAAAATGGGGGGTCCAACTCTCGAGAGTTTTTCGACGCTGTTTACTCCACACCTGCGTGCCTCGAATTCCTTCGTTCCTGCCCCGATATCGCACACGCGCGCACGCGTACATTATCGTTCAAAACTAAGTTTGGAAACAATTGTTTTTGCACGAGAAACCCGAATGAATGTATTTGTGAAAGTATTTGCTCGCAATTTCCGTTCTCATCATTGGCAAGTGCTTTAGGCGGAAGAAAAAAATTAATTTAAGAATTTATTTCATCGTTCGTGTCTATGATACAATTCGATATCTTCATAGAGGCAATGATTAAAATATAAAAATATCGATTAAGATTTATTTATTATCAACTTACAAGCAATTGAAGTTTGCACGAAGCGAAAGACAAATAGAAGACGATTTTTTCTCGCTAAATTGAGATTACTTATTGTAACTTATTTACTCGAGTTTCCACTCGTAAGATTTTTGCACATCAACTTCTACGTTTGCTTTTACTTTTAGAATCGATCCTACGAACGTATTAATACTCGGCAAACTTAAGTTGAAATAAATAAAAACTTTCGATATTTTCGCTTAAAGTTCCTGCAAACCGCCTCCCTTCAAACTTTTGAATAGCGCTGTATG